ATGTTATGTTATGTTATGTTATGTTATGTTATGTTATGTTATGTTATTATTTTTTTGAGAGACAGAGCATGAGCAGGAGGGGGCCAGAGAGAGAGGAAGACACAGAACTTGAAGTGGGCTCCAGGCTCCATGCTGTCAGCACAGAGCCCAACACGGGGCTGAAACTCACAAACTGTGAGATCATGACCTGAGCTGAAGTCAAACGCTCAACTGACTGAGCCATCCAGGCACCCCACCAATATTTTAAGAATTGGACAAATGGACAAAATATTTGAACAAGCACTTCGACAAGATGTTATCTAAGTGGCCAGAAACATGAAAATGTGCTTAACCTAATTATCATCATGAAAATGCAAATTAAAACTTGCAGTATGATACGAGAATGCGCTCTCCAGAAGAGTAAAAATAAAACAAAAGAGAATATCCCAAATGGTGGCAGAGATGCATAACATGAGAAACATCTGGTGTCTAATATACCATTGGTGGGAGTGTAAATTAGCATAACTTCTTTAGAAGACCATCTGGCTATAAATACTAAAGCAAAGCATATCATACCTTTTGACCTAGCAATTCCAGTCCTAGCTATATTACCCAACAGAAATGCGTATGTGAGTTCACTAAAGATGTGTATGAGAATGTTTATAACAGCACTCTTTATAATAACCCCAAGAAAACCCAATTTCTCAACAGCTATGAAGTGGACCAATTAAAATGGTAGTTATTAATAGAATCAAGTAATATACAAGAGTGAGAATGAACGAACAAGTATATGCAACAATGTGGATGCCTCGTAAGCAGAATGTCCAATGAAAGAAGCCAGACGCTCACACACAAATACATACAGTATGATTCTGCTTGTATAGTTCAAAAAGATAAAACTATCCTATAGTGATGAAAGATCAGGGTAGTTGTTACCTTCAGCCAGGCAGAGTGCTCCTTGGGTGCTAGGAATGTTCTCTTTATTGTGGCTGCATTGGTATATTCTATATCTGAAAACTCAGCAAACTGTGTACTTAGGATTTGTGTACTTTGCTGTGTATATGGCACACTTTAATGAAAAGTCAACTAAAAATAAGCAAAAGCAGTCTCAATACCTGCACAGCCATACCTCAGATCAAAGAAGTTACATCCAGTCAGGATGCAGGTAGCTCACTCTGCCTGTCAGTTCTTTGTTTTTTTCAGGATTAGTTCTCTCCTCTCGGGGTTCCACCGTCAGGGTGACTCAGCCCCATTTCTTCTATCCTTCTGCTTTGTCAGCCTCTTCTGCCCCAACACATTCTCCTTCTCTCTTTCGGTCTCTCTCTTTTCTCTCACATTTTTACCTGCCCCTCCCCACTTCCTCCCTGCCCTTTCTACCCTCCCTCTCTTCCAGCCACACTCATCTCATGAGGCAAAGACTCAGTAACTGTCAGCTAGTCAGCATGCAGGAGAGATGCCCCTTTTGAGGGAAACACACCATTATCAAACCTACAGTTGTGCTGGATGGAATATTTATTAGCTGTAAGCTGGAGAGGGGAAATACATAAAACTAAACCCTATCTGTAAAGGTGGGTTCTGGCCACAGGTTTAGAAGTGCGCTGTGGACATAGCTAGTACATGGACACAACCAAATCACATTTCCGTTTAGTCCTTAACTCCATCTCCAGCCATTGGAAATCCTGGAACTACTTTTCTAACTTTCCCACACTATCCAGCACAATGCCAAAAACATAGTGGAGGGTGTTGAAGAGTTATCTGTTTGAAAAGCCAGTAACAACATATTTCTTTAATGGACAAATGGGTGACCTAGTGTTCTGACTCACTGGTTTATGACTCTGTTCTCAATCTCATCATCCTCAAATGGTGACTTGGGTGTGAAATTTCTGGACCTGCACTGTAAGTCTCCAATTCCATAAGACTAAGTGGCTCCTTAGTACACTGTTCAAAAATATCTCAAATACTGATGGCTAAGACCTGACTTTTTCTTTATGTCAAAACAAGGGTGCCTTGGCTATAATGAAAATAAGACGGCATAGTGTTACCTCATTTAATTTGAGATCAAAGAATAATGTCACTCTGTGATGGTACATTTTTAGGAGAGCCACTGAAGTCTTTTTTTTTTGTGCGTGTCTAGTTATAGGAGGCTAATTCTGCTTAAATATTCAATTGCAGATAGAAATGAATGTACCGTTGACAGTGGTGGCTGTCAGAACCAATGCTGTAATACAGCTGGGCGTTATCACTGCATGTGTCAAGCTGGCCGGAAGCTGGAGGAAGATGGCAGAGGATGTGAAGGTAACGGGTAGGACTGTCTGCTTACTGATAAGGAAAAGAGAGAACATCTACGTAATGCAAAAGGGAGGGTTTGTCTTTTATCCAGAGCCAGTTGAAGTGCCTGTGTTGAATGTTGTCAAGAGTACAGATCTTCCTCTCATGTCTAGATTACAAAATTGTAACCCTAAGAACACTTCAAGTAGCTTATTATAGGAAACATATGATTATACACTGGTTTGGTTGTGTCACGTTCTGATTATGGAATTTCAATCATTCATTTAAATCCCTGGGTAAAGTACATATTTTTGAAAGCATTTCATTTAATTCTGAAGTAAAAATGGTGCTTATCATAAAATACTCATATGTTGCTACAACGGAAATGGAGAGGCACAAAACTAACCACAGGGATAGTATTCTTGGTATGGAATCAGCTTTTTTCACAAACTTCAATTTACTGTCTCCCTTTAAAATTAATTCCTTCCTGCCTTTATTTATTAATTCATCATTTTGTTCATTTGACGATCATTGAATTCCTGCTCTGTAGCTGGCATTAATCCATGCTCTGCGGATATAAAAATTAATGAGAGATAAATTCTGCCCTGAAGGAGTTTACTGATTACAGGCAAAGATGGAAACATAAGCCAAAACCTTACAGAATGGTGTGTAATACATTATAGCATAAGGCTAACTGCAATGGACTCAACGAGACCTGGGTTTGAATCTCAGCTCTCACAATTTATGTAACCCTGGGAGCGTTAATTGTTAGCACTCTTTCCTTGTCTATAATATTTGGGATAATGCCAGTTTCTAAAATCACAAAATTTACTGTGGGATTCAATAAGATGATGTATCTAAAGCAGTTGGCACAGTGCATGGCATATAGTATGTGTTCAGATGTTAACTATGAATTTTGCTCTCATTTATGAACTCAGTCGTTGCCCATATTGGGAATGTAATGGAGCCCAGACATTGTTCCCTTTTCTTGTTCTCTAAAAAGGACAAAGATCCAAATTAAAAAGAACCCTGTATCAAGGCTTTTAACTGTCCTTTCTGATTTTCCCTCCATCTATTCATATTACTAGAATGCTAGGGCATTTTTTTTAGATCACTTAGAAATGTATTTATTCTAAGTATGTTTTCCATTGACCTTACAAAATCATACTTTTTTTTTTAAACTCTGACAGAGCCTATTCCCACTGGGGCATGCGTGAATAAGTTGGTAGGAGAAAACAAAATAAACCGAGAGACATCCAACTGGAGATGACTGGAGCTGGGGCTATGGGTTTGATTGGGACTGTCAAGGCAAGGCAAGTTGTAGTGTTGTTCGGCCCCTTCTGGCATGTTCTGGCAGGCAGCAACAGGAAGGCCTCCAGGGAAGCTGGCAGATATTCAAGGGCAACCGCATCTGGGCCTTCTGGAGGTAGGGCTTTACCCCAAGCAAAGTCCTCTGCCAGGAAGAGTATAAATTAATAAAGGCAAGCACTAAATTCACCCAGTCTCCTTTCATTCGAGGGAGGTAATCTCTATTTCTGAGGAGATTATCTGTCAGTGGTGTTCTCACTGTTGATTCAATATCAGAGAACAGGAGGACTCAAGGACCCCATGGTGTCCAAATGAAAAGTGGGACACTGACCACTGCAGAGAGCATAGTCTACGTGATGAGAAGATTCTTTGTCGTGGCTTCTCCCTTCCCTTACAGGCAGCAATCTCTGTCTTTTTGGCTGAGTAGTGTTATCACCATTGTCCTTATTATAGATACATTCAAAGTGCCAGCACAGCAATTACCTACTGTTAGGTTTAACAGTTGCTGTTATGTTTCTAATAACTATTAGGCTAATAAGTCATGATAAACTTTGTACCCACTAATTCATTTACATGCCATTATCTCATATGTAACTGAACTTAGTTACTCTTCATATAATCGTCAACACATTTAGAGCAATGATTTCCTGGCTCCCTTTAACTGATGTCCTTTTGCACAGACTGAATAAGAGCAAGGTTAGGATTTGGGAGAATCAAGAGCGGGACCCTGAGCTAACACTGACTTCCTACTTCCTGAGATTCAGCACTGGGGATGGTGGTGTGGAGCAGACCAATGTGCCATGGTAGAGAACCACCTCACAGTGTGATACTTCTTACAATCTTTTCCTGTTCGTTTCCTTAAATGACAGTTTGGTAGATGTGGTGATGCTAGAGAAGCGGCTTGCTAGATCACTCAATGTACAGTGGTCTCAGATTTGTTTATATACATAATTAAATACAAAATAACAGAGGTCATTTTGAAATTGAGTGCATTCTAAAGTCACTGTAAATGAGCATTTCAGTTTATGTGAGTAGACTAATGAGTCATTCATATTTATTTACTGGATGCTAACAGTAAAGGTCAGTTGGTTTCCAAAACCATTGTGTTAAATGCTACAGACATAGAATTAAATAGTCATTTGAAAAGAGGTTTTTTTTGCATTAATATAAATTTAATTTAACTTGTTTGAATTGCCTTTTAAAAGAGATTGACATTTTAGTAAACGGTTGTTGTACTATCACAATAAATCTAGAGTCTACTTTTCAGTGGAAATGGAAATATTTGTAAATGGTCTTGTTAGCCAATCTTATTTTTAACCTTTTCTCTCAACAGCTATAAACTTGTGGAGAAGGCTTCTGATTAGCTCAGTTACATGGTATCCCTTTTTCTCAGGCATGGCAGGGAGCCTAAAGCAGGGTTTCTAATTCACACTGCAGATAGGTTATTATGAAGTGTAAATTAAACAGCAAAATAGAGGGGAAAGCACTGCCTCCTAGTGGACACTGTGGTATATAGTGTGTGTGTGTGTGTGTGTGTGTGTGTGTGTGTGTGTGTGTGTGTGTATGTGTGTGTGTGTGTGTGTGTGTGTATGTGCGTGTGTGTGTATATATATGTATGTGTGTGTGTATATATATATACATACATATATGTATATATATACATATATATACACATGTTTGTATGTGTATACATATATGTTTATATATTTTTTGAAAGGGCATTAGTTTTTTTCTTTAATGTATTAATGTGGATTCTAGTATTTATAGCTTTTCATATATGTAAGCATCTCTGCATTTCAGGAAAAAATTCAACTGGATTTTAATATTTTATTTGCTACTAAATCCAATTTGCTATTATTTTATTTAGGGGTTTTTTTTTATTCATAACCATGAGTGAAATAAGCCAGTAATTTGTCTTTCTCATATGTTTTTTATGGTAGTTGTTCTCACCTTGAGTGATTTTTGTCCTCAGAGACCTTTGGCAATGTCTGCAGACATTGATTTTCACAACTGAGGGTAGGGGGTACTGTTGGCATCTAGTGGGTAGAGGCCAGGATATGCTAACTAGCCTCTTCTTCTGTTACTTTGAGTATACACTTGTTAGACCCTCATTTGATCTCACAGTCTGCTTTCATCTGTTGTATTTTCCTTTCTCTCTTCACTGCATATGCTCAACTAGTTTATTGAGTTTGAAATATAAATAATTTAAATGGACAGTTTTAAACGTCTTATTTTTCTCAAATCTGTAGGTTTCTTTCTGTTGTATGCTCAGGTTTATATTGTATCCTTTTTTTTTTTTTTTTTTTTTTTTTCTTACTGTTTCACATGTGGCTACATTGTGTGTCTGATTCCATTGTGTGTTGGTTGGGAAGTCTAAATCTATTATTTCTTATTTCCGGGCCGTTAGTTACATTCTCTTTCCCTTCATGTTGTATACACTTCTAGTATGGAACTCACAGAGGACTGTACTTATTTATACATTTGTACTTTCTCTTACACTGGGAATAAGTTCTGAGAAAGGGCCATGTCTTACCACTTTCTCATCCCTAGTTAACAGGTGGCTAGAGCCCAGCAGAATCCCATAAATGTTATTGAATGACTGGATGGGCAGATGAATACCCACCTACTCAAATATAAATGCATACAAGCATACAATCTGTATACCTTTATTCACTTCCTTATCTACAGATTCTAATCACGCTGGGTTTGTCACTTAAAGTCTGGCTAGTTAAACCATTTGGTTATCACTAGGTCTTTGTGTAAATATTTGCTGATAACAAGACTGTTTCATTTGAAAAGGTAAATCACATTTTTACTTCTAGAGGGCAAATCAAAGTCTTTTAGCTTAGTTTAAACTTCCTGAAGTTTCTCCAGGAGACTTCTCTAAATATATAACTAGTGTGACTCTTTCAGCATAGTAGTCCCATGGAATCAAAGAATTTCTCTAAATAAAACAGTAACTAACATTACTGTATTTTTAATAAGTGAACTGATAATAAACATTGGACATTTGAGATACACCTTACATTTGGGAAAAATAAATGGACATAAAAGTATATTATTTAATGAATTGACTGTTGAAATATTTTAAAATAATTTTGATAATGTTTTCAGCCAATTCTTTTTCCTGAAAAATGTTAGAAATTATAATATGAATAAACAAAATGTAACCCAGTATGCCATTGTCATGGAATTTATAGAATTTTTGGCTAAAAAAAGGCTTCTATAGATGGAATCCCAGGGAAATTAAATGATTTGAGCAAGCTCAAAATGCTAATTGGTGGACCAAGGGACAGCAGAAGCTGAGCTTTCATATTTCCTTTCTGGAGTATTGATAGGCAATATGAACTGGATACAGATCAGGTTAATCAGAACCATGGAGTCACAGCACTACTAGGGTCCCAGAGACCTTGAACTCACAGAGGCCAGGATCTACAGAGGAGGGAATTGAAGACCTGGAGAAATTGACTGACTTCCTCAAGTTGCAGACTATTTACAGAGCTAAGAATAATCTAGTTCTTTTCCCAATGCCATTCCACTCCTCAATCTGGTCAGTAAGCATTCATCAGATAACTACTATGTGCTCAGCACTGTGTTGCATAGTTTTAGAATAACTGGAGTACTATAAAATATGGTGTCTTCTGATATAGGGTTTCAGTATCATTATGAATCCTAGATATAAAATTATCATGTGATAATATAAGCGCAAGTAATTTTAT